ATATAAAACACTTTTATGCGTAAATTGCTTAGAGCAAAGTTCACACTGGTAAGGTTTTACTCCAGTGTGAACTTTCGTATGTTGATATAAATAACTTTTATGCGTAAACTGCTTAGAGCAAAGTTCACACTGGTAAGGTTTTTCTCCCGTGTGAACTTTCTTGTGTTTATTTAAAGAACATTTTTGTGAAAACTGTTTAAAACAAATTTCACACTTGTAAGATTTTTCGCCAGTGTGAACTTTCATATGTGGATATAAAGAACTTTTATGAGTAAATTGCTTAGAGCAAAGTTCACACTGGTAAGGTTTTTCTCCTGTGTGAACTTTCGTATGTTGATATAAAACACTTTTATGCGTAAATTGCTTAGAGCAAAGTTCACACTGGTAAGGTTTTTCTCCAGTGTGAACTTTCGTATGATGATATAAAGAACTTTTATGAGTAAACTGCTTAGAGCAAAGTTCACACTGGTAAGGTTTTTCTCCAGTGTGAACTTTCATATGTTGATATAAATAACTTTTATGCGTAAACTGCTTAGAGCAAAGTTCACACTGGTAAGGTTTTTCTCCCGTGTGAACTTTCTTGTGTTTATTTAAAGAACATTTTTGAGAAAACTGTTTAAAACAAATTTCACACTTGTAAGGTTTTTCGCCAGTGTGAACTCTCATGTGTATCTTTAATGAACGTGTATGGTCAAGTTGCTTAAAACAAATTTCACATTTCAATGCTTTTTCTTCAAGTGGCCGGTCTATGTGTTTTTTGTGTTTTTTATTACATGATCCTGCAAGTATTGTTTTCATAATTTTCGATGTATTCTCCTTCTCAAAAAGGCCTAAAATAAAAACTAAAATATATATTTTTTAGTTTAAGAAAAACTGTAGTGCAACAGAACAGACAATTTTAAATATTTAGAGTCAATTGACTGAAGTACGCTAAATTTGGCACAATTTAAATTTTATGATTTCAAAAATATTGATTAAGAAGAAAATGACGACGATAGAAAGGCTCAACTAAACTATAATAAAACACAGACTAATAAAAAGTTTCAATACTCTGAATTTTGTTTTTCCATTAAGTACTGCACTATAATGTTTCTTAGTTACACAAGGAAGATATAAAGAAAATTAGTATCTAAACTATGTAAAGTCTTTCTAGTGTATGCTACTTTAGACATATTTTTTATAGTACCTTCTCTTTGTACTAAATTATACCTACAGAAAATTACGGTTTTGTTGGGATAGAATTTATTTTATGGCAATTTTTTTTGTGAAAAATTTAAACTGTTCATTACAAACGCGTCAATATTCGGTGTCTTTTGTTTGTATTTCCTTATTTGAAATTTAACTCGGAAAGTTACTATTTTAATTTGAATAAACCACAATTGAAGTTTAAAATAACTTTATTGACGTATAAAAATTGCCATTTCGGAAATCGTTCACAAATTACAAACATTAATATATTTTTTAAGATTTCCGAAGTGGAAATTAAAACGTCAATAAACTTAATTTAATCTTCAATTGTGGCTTATTCCTATTAAAATAGTACTTACGTTAAGATGCCGCAAGAAAATAGCTTCAGAGCAAAACTCGGACAGTTGTTTACAATTCATTCATACAAGTTGTATTTAAAATATTATGCTTCACTCGACACTTTACATTGATAATTCAAGTATAGCTTGCATCCAAAAAACTAAACACTTCAAATAAAAATGTTCAAATGCCCAGCTTTTCTTTAGAAAGTAGTTTTCGGCTATTCATTAACTATTAACTTTTGTCCCAACACACATTTTTTAACAGTGAAACTCCACCAGAATTCTTATGGCTATTGCTATCTCATGATTACTAAGATATATAAACAAGTTAGTTCTATCTGATTGATAATTGAAGAAACTTATCTAAGGTCATATTCACCAATAATCCTTACGCTCCAATTCATAATAACTACTAATATTTACACTTCAGTCACATCTTGCTCAGCTTTTAACTTATGACATTCTCGAAAGCATTCGTTCTAGTATTGTCTTCTTTTCTGATTAGCGTTGTCTAGGAGTTTGATTTGACATTCGCATGTCTAAAGAGCCGCTGTTCATGGTTCTTGGCAAACTTATTTTTTATTGTTTGGCCACCACCAACTGGATGTCTCGATAAAGATCGCAGTTTCTGAGGTAACATAGAGCCCTGATAATGCTATTTAACACTTAATTCTGATAACGTTGTATAATTTCGATGTTACTTTCTTTTGCACAGCCTCATAAATGTATCCCAAATGTCCATATTGGTTTAGAGACTTGCTTATGCAATAACAATTTGTTGTAAGTATACAGGTGGACGGATATCCTAGATATCTAGGACACATAATGCGCCATAGGGAATTTAAGCAGCTCCAGGTAATATTAGAAGGCAAGATTGAAGGTAAAAGGGGCATAGGACAAAAGATAAAATCCTGGCTACGAACCATCAGAGATTGGACCCTTACAAAAGAAAATGAATTAATTCATCAAGCCCAAAACAGAGAGAAGTTTGCCATATTGATCCCCAACCTCAACAGAGAAGCACCCAGGAGGAGGGGGAGACAGGGCGGAATTTTTTCCCATCAACCAGTATATATCTTTTTGAATTTACTTCCTAATTCTATCTTTTTTCTCTTAATATGCCATTTCCAGCATAACATTGAATCTAATGTCATATCCAAATATGTCGCCATGTTTGCATAAGGTATTTACTTCCTGTTTATACTGACTGAAACATGTTGTTTTTAATTTCTTAGTAAAATCGACATGAACAGATTTTTAGAACAGAAGGTGAAACCTTCAGAAAAAAGTACCAAGTATAGACCAAAAATCCTGATTGAAATTATTATTATAGGAACATATACACAATTATATTTTTAATACCGTCCATTAGGCATCGTAATTAATAAATTCTAGAGGTGCTTGAGGTCTAATCATATTTGAAGCTACTATCTAACAGTAAAACCAACGGTAATATACAGCTCCCTAAAGCTTCAAGGACTAATGTATGTTTATAAAACTTTGGTGATATTTAACACAGATAAAAACAGATAGTAGAGACAACAGTTCTCAGAAAAAACTGGGTCCAATAAATGCGAATTGATAACTTTGAGCAATACAATAAGTACAAATAGCTAAAGTAAAAGATAGGATCTCAAAAAAATATACCCCTCCAATGGCCAGAACATCTCTATATTTTCACACTGATTACCTACTATGAAATGACAAGCAATGACAATGATTTAATATACTATTATGATCTGATTTCCGTGCTTATGGTACGATGAAGCTGACTTTTATTAATTAACTCATTCATTAATTACTTTAATTATTTATTACAAAGCAAAACAAAAATAAATAAAATTATGCAATAGATTAATTTCTCAGGGCTAATTTTTCATATTAATTACCTTTATATTTATATTTAAACAAGGGAAATAAATATAAGAAAACACAAATATTATAAAACATAAAATACCATATATTTATTATACCCAAAAAAAAATCAAATATTCTTTCTAACTTTTATTTGTTATCTGACAAAAAAGACCATCATCTTTAATAAACCCGATGCATTGTCTATTTAAAACCGAAAGTTCCATGACCCATTGTTAATGGTTCAGGTCAAATGAGCTATACTTTTCTAAACAATTTACCCAACTTTCTACCGATTATTAATACTTATTCTTAGAACGTAAATCACCATAAAAATCCAATTTTCTTTGAACGCACTTTTTAAAACTAAATGATTATATTTACAAACATTTTATATACAGGGCATTGAAAACTTAAAATCACGTGGTCTTTTAAATGAAAAAAATTATTTTATTTTTAAATTAATTTTGAACTACAAAAGTTAGACAAAATAATAATATAGTCCATTAACTAACATATTCTATGTACGTATATAAAAATCACTAAGTTTTAACATTATTATTGAAACAATTATATGGGTATAATTAAACATAATTAATAGCTCTATACATTTTAACATAAAATGACTCATTTGTTGCTTCAATATTTACTTTATAGCAATTTTTTTGTACAAAATTAATACTTTTATCTTTTACGGTAGTTTAAAATCAAGTATTGCAAATGTTTAAGCATTATCGAATTTGCGCTACCAAGGAATATATGGCATTTATATTCTGAAACCATTTTATTGTGGTGTTTTTTGTGAATGAACAAACAAATCAAAATTTTGAAAATTTCTTTGATATCAATACGCAATGTTATCACTAAAAATAATAACAAAATTATTTTAAAGTTAGTCATAGTTCAAAAAAATCAATGCAATGATTTGTATATGATTTGTCGGGTATTTTAATAATTCACAGGTTTTAGTACGTAACTTTTAATATAATTTAATATAGTTTATCGTTTAAATAAATTTATTGTTTTTCTAATAAATGTAAGTTTTATTTCGTTTTCCCATCACTTTGTCACCTAAAAATTCTGAAAATTCGGCCTACAGTTTGATGCAACTTTTTCATAACGAATAAATATAATTCTTCAGAAAAAAAAACAGTCAATCCCAGGTAGTGATTCAAGAAATGATTTGTCACATTGTCCACCCAATAAGATTTTTGTTTAGGATGCGATTTCATATGTTGGTTCAATTGGTTACAATTGAACAAATAACAACAAATATCACATTTGTAAAGTCCTTCTCCAGTGTGAACTTTTATATGTTAATTCAAAGACCTTTTACGAATGAAGCCATATCACAAATTTCGCACTTTTAAAGTTTTTCTCTAGTGTGACTTTCTTATGTTGATATAAAGACCTTTTATGCGTAAACTGCTTACAACAAAGTTCACACTGGTCAGGTTTTTCTCCCGTGTGAACTTTCGTATGTTAAGATAAAGAATTTTTTTGCTAAAACTGTTTAGAGCAAATTTCACACTTATAAGGTTTTTCTTCAGTGTGAACTTTCTTATGTTCATATAAAGAACATATTTGAGAAAATTGTTTAACACAAACTTTACACTTTTAAAGTTTTTCTCCAGTGTGAACTTTCGTATGTTGATATAAAGACCTTTTATAGGTAAACTGCTTAGAGCAAAGTTTACACTGGTAAGGTCTTTTTTTCGCGTGCGTCTCTATATGTTGTTTCAAATATTTTGCCCTCAAAAATAGTTTAAAACAAATATCACACTTGTACGGTTTTTCTCCCGTGTGAACTTTCATATGTGGGTATAAAGAACTTTTATGCGCAAACTGCTTAGAGCAAATTTCGCACTGGTAAGGTTTTTCTCCCGTGTGCGTCCATTGATGTTCTTTCAAACAACTTACTCGAGAAAATACTCTAAAACAAATGTCACACTTATAAGGTTTTTCTCCTGTGTGAACTTTCTTATGTTCATATAAAGAAAATTTTTGAGAGAACAGTTTAAAACAATATTCACACTTGTACGGTTTTTCTCCCGTGTGTAATTTCGTATGTTGATATAAAGTATTTTTCTGTAAAAACTGCTTAGAGCAAATTTCGCAGTGGTAAGGTTTTTCTCCCGTGTGCGTCCTTTGATGTTGTTTCAAACAACTTGCCCGAGAAAACTGTCTAAAACAAATTTCACACTTATAAGGTTTTTCTCCAGTGTGAACTCTCATATGTACCTTAAATGAACTCATATGGGCAAGTTGCTTAAAACAAATTTCACATTTCAATGCTTTTTCTTTAACAGGTCGGTCTATGTGTTGTTTTTTATTACATGATCCTACAGGTATTGTTTTCATAATTTTCGATGTGTTCTCCACCTCAAACAGGCCTAAAATAAAAACTAAAATGTATATTTTTTTAGTTCATCGAAAAAGTTAGTACAACAAAACAGACAATTTTAAAAATTCAGAGTCTATCGACTGAAGTAAGCTGAATTTGGCACAATTTAAATTTTATGATTTTAGAAGAAAATGATGACGAGAGAAAGGCTCAACTAAACTAGAATAAAACACAGACTATTAAGATTCAATACTCCCAATTTTGTTTTTCCATTAAGTACTGCACTATAATGTTTCTTAGTTACACAAGGTAGACATAAAGAAAATTAGTATCTGGACTATGTGAAGGGTTTCTAGTGTATGCTACTTTAGACATATTTTTTATAGTACAGTAAACTTCCGTAAAAAATCCGGTAAAATAAAAAAAAATAAAAACGTACTGTTAATATTATACATGCTTAACCCGCCCCATCACTGTAGTTTACAAAGAATTTCAATAAAATTTATAACAAAAGCGCACAATCTAATTGTAAAATATATATGAGTATTTTTTGCTGAAAAATAAATAAATAAAGCATTTGTACGAAAAACATAATATTTGATCATAAACATAATATAATGTATCTACACGCATGAGATATAAATTTACACATTTGTGGGCAAGGGACAGAAAGTTTTAACATTACATTATTAGGAGATTCCCTGATATACCTAATAACGAATAGGTTTCTATGATTTTATGTAATGTATGGCAGAAAAATCAGCAAGAACAGGATCTCGACATAGATTGACTCCTGTAATGGTTGGCAAATTTCACAAACCTAGAGTTTTAAAAGATATAATGCATCATTTGCCTGTTTCGTATTATAGCTTTAAGAAGGCATGGTTCACCTCAGATATTTTCAAAAATTCGGTCTCAAGGAATTTGTACCTTCAGCAAAAAAATTTTAAGAAAATGAATTGGGAACACTGCCAGAAGAGGTGAAATGTTAATTGTTGTTAGACAACGCTCCTACTCCTCCCTCTGAAAATATTCTACGTTCAGAAGATGGCAACTTTAGCTGTATGCTTTTGAAAACAAATATAGCATTGCTTATTCAACGCATGGATCAGGGAATAATTTTAGCAACCAAACGAATATATCGCAGAAAGTTTTTAGACGAAATAATGGTTGTACTGCAAGATGGAGATAATGCAGATGATAAAATAGGACAGCGTACCTTGAAAAACTTGAGAGGAGGTGAACGAGCAGTTGTTTGGTCAAGATGCAAATATAAATTTAGAAGGGTTGAAAGTTACCGATTTCTGTAGGATAATACATAATAATGTCGAAGAACATGTAGCTGACGAAGATTATTTACAATGGCTAGAAGTAGATGAAAGTGACCTTGGGCATAACATCATGACTAAAAGTGAAATATGTGAATTTAACTCGGAAAGTTACTATTTTAATTTGAATAAACCACAATTTAAGTTTAAAATAAGTTTATTGGCGTTTAAATTTCCACATCGGAAATCGTTCACAAATTACAAACATTAATATATTTTTTAAGATTTCCAAAGTGGAAATTAAAACGTCAATAAATTTATTTTAACCTTCAATTGTGGCTTATTCCTATTAAAGTAGTACTTACGTTAAGAAGCTTCAAGAAAATAGCTTCAGAACAAATCTCGGTCAGTTGTTAACAATTAATTCATAAAAGTTATATACAAGTAATTTTATTTAAAATATTATGCTTCACTGGGCGCTTTACATTGATAATTCAAGTGTAGCTTGCATCCAAAAAACCAAACACTTCAAATAAAAATCTTCAATAGCCCTACTTTTCTTTAGAAAGTAGTTTTTGGCTATTCATTAAATATTAGCTATCTCAGAATTAAAATATAACTATCTCATCAAACTTTGTAAAGAAAAAAAGATTCCTGGATATTTCCAAAACGAATTCACTGATCTACCTTATTCCGAAAACATAAAAGATGCTTTACCAGAATCAGACATAGCAGATGTTGATCCTACTTGTGACGTCCTCTCGTAGGAGTCACTATCCGGGTAGCTTTTGGACAGTCAGAGACAGAGTTCAAAATAAAAATAAAACTTTATTGTCTTCCTTAAATTAAATTGACAAAAATCTTATGTACATATTTACAATTTGGTTTAGTCTTCTCAGTACCTGGCCTATTTATTCAAATTAAGTTTGACCTTGTCATATGAAATTAGTCTTATCGGCAAGCGAGTGTGTATTTGAAATTTTACGAGAACGTTGTATCGATTTAATAACAGCGGACGATAGGTACAAAGAAAGGAAAGGAACTCAACACGTTCCTTAAGTGATTCGGGTTAATAGGACACTCCTCGACAGTCTGAACACGACTGCTTCAGAGTACGGGTAATGAAGAGCTCAACATGCTCTTCGGGTAACGGCGGTATGGAACGGAACAACTTGTGAACTCAACACATCCACAAGCCGGGGTAGGGAAGAAGAGAACCTTCAGTCAACACCTGTCGATTCTCCTCTATGAGGAAATGTTGCGGTTTATATAGCGGAGCTTGGTAATTAGTTTTGTCCTTTCTACTGTCGATACACTCCTACTACATGGGTTGGTTCGCGCGCACGCTGGTTTAACGGTGATGGCTTGGACTCATCGTTAGACCCCCTCTTCCTGGGAAAAAAAAAATTTTGGAACAAAATTTTTTTATTTTTATTCCTTGCCAGGTACTTGGTTACCCTAATAAAAAATTTACAATACATCGAAATAAAAAATGTCCGCCCTAAAAAAAAATAAATATCGTCTTCTTAAAAAAAATCGTCTTCCTCTCTCTTAAAAAAAACGTCTTCCTTCGTGGGGCTTCAATTATTGGTTTTTATCCTCAGCACCCGGTTCGGGAGTCTCAGTTTGAATTTTTTTCCTTTATGCTGCGGCGGAATTAGTGAGATCAGCGGGATTGACACTGGAATTGACTGGACTTTCTGAATTTTTGTGATGCCCATGGTTGGTTCATCGAAAAGGTTTTTAAATTTGGAAATAGCCTTTATCAGGGGCTCGCAGCCTTTGCCCGGGGTGTTAGGTTTTGGTGTGTTCCCCAATGGTGATATTAACTCTGGAACGGTGTATGGTGGCGGCGTAACTGTGCCGTCCATTTCTATGTCACTGTAATATATTTCTAACGTGTCTGACATTATATTTGAATGGGCAATGCTGCCGGTGATGGCTTGGACTCATCGTTACATACTGATGATCTAAAATTATTTTAACTTTTTATATTTTTGTAATAATTCTGAATTTGATTTCATTTTGAATAGTTTATTTAATGGTTTACCTTACTTTTGATTATTAAAAAATTTAAGAATGTTCTGATTGTTTTTTAAAGTATACAAGTTTGACAAATTGTAACATTAATTTCTTATTTTAATTTTTCGTTAGATTTACCTTCATGTTTGCTGAGTACAATATTGATTTTAGTAGATACTAATAAACTACTAAAAAATCTACTAATAATCTCTGATAAACTAATACTATAAAAATGGACAAAACAAAAAACACAAATACAAAACATAAAATCACAAAAAAAAATTAAATTTAAATACCGCGAGTAAAAGAAACAATGCAACACTGTAAAAATATCCAGCTCCCCACTGTATAACGTTTACTGCACGAATGGCTTTGCTAGACCCCCACTTTCAAATTTGTTTTTGCGCGGTGACTTTTTAATTTCACGAGATATCTATTTGTCTGTCTGTACCACTGATGTTCATGTTAACATTTAATTCTGATAACGTTGTATAATTTGTATGTTACTTTCTTTTGCACAGCCCCATAGATGTATCCCAAATGTCCATATCGGTTTAAGGACTTGCTTATGCAATAACAATTTGTTGTCAGTAGACAGACGGAATTTTTTACCATTAACCAATATGTCTTTCTGAATTTTTTAAATCTAGTGTCATACCGAAATATTTTGCTATGTTTGCATAAGGTAAAATGTGTAGTTTACTTTTTGAAGTGAATACTTCTTATCGCTCAATATGTTGTTGTGCATGGGCGCGAAATCCTATTTAGCGTTACTCGAAAAATCGAGACAGGTGTAATAACCTTAAGATATACCGATTTGGCTATTTTTTTATTTTAAAATATTTGTATGAAATAAAATAAAATAAAGTAATTAAAATTAAATAAAATATTTTTTTTTTAAATCTAGTAACTTTGCATATCGCATACGACGGGGGATTCAATTAATTGTCATCTACAATCAGTCATTAAATTTTTAAAAGAAACTGTTTGCATATATAATCCAAGAAGACCATATAATGGTCCAAGAAGAACCATATAATGGTTGGAAGAACCATGTTCTTCCAACCATTAATTAACAGAGTACCGGCATGTAAGTAATGTTTTATTTATTTACTAATTTATTACGATTCAATAGACTATTTTATACCAATTTGTAGGCATTACCTTGTCTGCCTAAACAGTTTATTCATTTTGAAAAACCACAGACATGTAATATTCGCATAATTACTGTAATTTATATTATTTATCTTTGTTTATCTATATAAGACAACACCCTAATATGGGTTTTATTATTTCAGCATATGATTAACTTTGTATCGTGACCTGAATATGCTTTGCATATTGTAGAAAGCGAAACCGGTCATCTAGATAGTTAAATTAAACTCACAATAGATTGTGAGTAAGTCTTATTTATTATTTCTTTTACCTAACTCCTTATTAGATCTAGTCATGGTCCAAGATGAAGAGGTTGAGGTATCTAGAGCTGAGAGTGCCCTACTCCCAGAGGATAGGCATCATTGTCCACTCTCATTTGAGTTTAAATGTGAATCTCAATATTTCAATGAGCCGGTATTGATTGGAGATAGCTGTTATATAGACTTTCGCTCAATGAGTGTAAGAGAAGTAACAAACTTTCTTTCACAATTTAACTGGGATGATTTGTTTAAAGATAAAAGCCTTGATGATATGATCAACATGTTTTATGATGTTATTTACCTCGCAATTAATATTTTTGTTCACCTGAAAAAATATTCAGCAA